AGATATCATGAAAGTTGGTGTATATCTACACAGTTATTGAGAAGCATCAGAATTCTGATTTATTGAGGAAACTCATTATCTTGGGGAGTAAGTCATTAAACCCTTTATAAATAAGGGACCAGGTTCTTTTTCTAATCCTAAGCTCTTGAGATTATCGTAAAATACACGATCAAAATATATGTTTTCTGACTTGAGCGTCGGAGTGTCTACGCCGGGGCCCTGCCCCGGTGCTTTGCAGGTTGATCCAGTTCTTGAAGATGAAGGCGATCGAGACGTCCAAACTCTCATGCAATCGAGATGAGGCGTTTCGACCGACAATCTCGTAAGTCGATTATTTTTGCTCATCAACAAACAAAAAGTAATAAACAAATTAAAGTAGAGTAAATTTANTTAAACAACTCCCGGAGAATGCGAACTTCCACAATACGGATTAATAATTCCATATGAATTAAAAATGAAAAAAAAAAGATAAATACACAAACAAAAAATAATGAACTAATATACAAGTAGTATAAAATTATTTCCATATTTAGACAGTTGTCGCCACCGTCATCCATAAAAATGAAAGATAGCTAATAATTCCAATTGAAGAGGAAAAAAAAAGACAAATATACAAACCAAAAATAATGAACTAATTTAAAAGTAGTATAGATTTATTTCGATATTTAGACAGTTGTCTACCACCACCATCATCCACAAATGGAAGATAGCACCCAAACTACATAGACTATAAAACTAATCTTTGACTATGGAGTTTTTAAATTTCTAATGTAATTTAAATGAATCATTCAATACTCAATAATTTAAATATATACAATTATTTTAATCACGAGAGAGCCTTTGTGAAACACTATTTTTTTCACGTATCATGGACCGACAAGCATGTGTTTGACTATTACATACATACAATTTGTATTAAAATTATACTTTTCACATATTTGTTTTTCTTGCACAATGATTCTATCACGCACACAATGTTTTATGTTATATCTTTCTTTTTATAGAGTCAAACATTACATGAAATTATTAGTGGATATTTGTCAAATTTCAAATTTGAAATCACATCATAAGGGATGTCTAAAGATATTTATTGTTCAATAATTCGTGCCTAAGACTTATTGTAATAAACTAGTAAAATACACTGAATAATATTTATTTTCACCTCTCATTTACATACATGTGATCTTGGACTCTTAATTGAGATGGGTTTGAATATAATGCCGGAAAGATTAGCATATTTTTTGTGTGATTAATTTGAACAAATCACGTATTAATAGCCCATAATTTGAAACAAAATGTTCATTTTTTTTTTTTTAAGTAGTAGTGGTTACACCTGCCATGTTAGGTACATGATATAACTCCCAAAATCAAATGTAAAAAGGTCTGATTAGTCATAGGATAAAAGGTGGCAAATTGGCAATTGCACATGCAAATCAATGCATAACACATGCATCCATTTGTGTGTGCTTCTGTACATTTTAGTAGGCTTGTCAAAATGGGCCTAGGTCAGCGGGCCGGTCTGCCTCGTCTAATAGGCGGGTTGGGTTGTTGTTTCAAAAACACGCCAAAGAGTAAGCCTAAACGGGTTGGTCCGCTCGGGCTGCAGGTTTTGGCGGGCCACGGGCTAACCCACCATTTGCCCAAAAAACAAAAGAAAAACGATTTTATATTGTAATACAGACTCTTTCACTTTCATTTCTGCTCACACGTACGTACACTCGTCTCATATCTGTTATGTACTTTTAATCCCTAATTTCTCAACATTCAAAACTCAAGCCCGTGTACTCTTATAAGAAAAAATAAAAAATAAAAAAAAAACTTTGTACTTTCAAACCATTGCCATTTTTGTGCCATTTTTTTCTCTCAGTTTTTGCTGCGTGCATTGTGCTACAAATTTTTTTGGTTCCCAACTTTTATAATTCCATTTTTTTTTTCAGCGGGCCAGCTCGCCTAGCCTGTGGCCTACGGCGGGGTTGGGTTGGGCCGGGTGCCCTTTTACAAGCCCGTTGAGATGGCGGGCTGCCCGCCAGCCCGTTTTGACATGTCTACAATTTAGATCATGTCATTTTTAATGTGGAAGTTATTTTTTTATTTTATTTTTAGAAATAATTGCTGTATAAATACTAATATCGTAGGTAATAAGTAATAAAAATAAATAATTTTCTATGTATAAATATAGAAATTTTTTTATGTTATTGTAGATATGATTCAAGTGTCATATTCGAATACACGTGGATCTTCTCAGTAATCGAAAATTGAAATCTCGCCATATCGTGCTTCGTGTATTGTTCTTGATCTGTATTGACATATGTTAGATAAAACCTAAATTCATATTAATATTGAAATGTAGGTATTTTACGATAAGTGCGCGCAACGTTGTTAGAACACAAATAAACAACTAGAATAGCGGAAGCAGTAAACCGAAGATTTAAAAAAATCTTCAGCGAAGAGTCTCACTTCCCCTCAGAGCTCTTTCATTGATAACTCGATTGTGCACATGCGTATAGTTTTGGAATTACAGCAACTAGAACTCCCTTCTAGCCTAACCAACAACTATACTCGAATCTACCAACTACTTCTCCGGCCACGTCTCGTGGACTTTAACTCTCAAATCCCTCGAGCTAAAAACAACACTTAATCCCTAAGTATTGATCACAAAAGTGTTTGAATGAAAAACAAAAGAATCAAAACAAAAGGCTTCAGTTCTTCAATGTCATAAGAACACTGAAAACTGAACAATGAAAATAAAACCTAAAAGGCTTGAAGCTCGAATATTGAATGGAAGATAATGATATCAGCACCCTTGATTCGATCTTCAAGTAGGGTATATATACAACTCCTTAGGCTTGGAGTCTTCTCCAAGTTCTTTCCTTCTTTCACGATCTCTTTTGATCTTCTTCCCAAAAATAGTGTAGTAACATGGAAAGTAAATCTTCCTTGATTGTATGTGATTTGAAGATCTTCAGAATTGAGTCTCCAATGGAAATCTTGTAGTTCCAGACTCGTGTAAGAACACAACTTTCCTAAAATAGCCAATCTTCCAAATCTTCAAAGATCTTGTGGTGAATCTTTCCAAATCCTCCTTAGATCTTCTAGAGAACGTCTAGAATTCTTTATGCACGAATTGTTCATCCTTTCATAGTCTTTGCCACCTATTCCTTGTCCTACAAGAGAGAGAAAACTAATTATGGCATAGAATCAAGCTCATTAATGCATGTGTCATATATGGAAAGTAAATATATAAGATATATATTATGTAATCCTTATCCTAAAGGTTTGGGACTCCATAATACACATTATAATAAATATATAACATATATTATTAATAATAAATAATAGGTACTTAATTAATTAACAAATAAATAAATAGAAAACTTCCCTTTATTTTATTTTGCTTGTCTAACAAAAAAATTTTCAAGAAAACACTTGAGTTTTTCGGATGATGTCAAACCAATATTCTTACAAATATAATTTTGAAAAATTCAATTAATTTTTACTTTCGTCGTTGTTTTGTAATTCTTGAAGTGAATTGACACGATCATCCAAGAAACATTACTAAGTGCATCAAAATTCACCGTTGCATTGTTGGGCCTACCCAATGGAGTTGGAGTAAGCCCAGGACCAGCATCTGTCACCTGGGGGCCCATAAGTATTTAAGCGATTCCAGACCAAGTTCTTTATCAGTTTCTTTCCACTTTAGTGACGTCAGATTGGATCCCAAGGCCATAGTCTTCACCAATAGGACGGAGCCCAACCTATTTTGAATCGGTCTAATATTGGCCCATTAACTGTCGCTAATAAGTCCATTTAAATACCAGTATTGACGATATTATTTAGAAAAATCATTCTATATTAATATATTGTCATTTTAATTAAAATTGATAAATAATTTAATATTAATTTATAGAGGTAACATAATTCTATTTCAATTGTTTATTATATGCGTTAAATATCAATTCAAAAACTTCTTCTAAAACCACAATATCAAATTTATTTTAAAAAAAAAATATTTATGTGCTACACGAGACAAAAATATTTCTTTAATTATACATAATAATTTATCACTCATTTGTTGATGAAATTTGTAGAAAAGTAATAGTTTCTATAACTAAATATCAAATTCTATTTGTTTCTTCAATATTATCCTCCATTCAGATAAAAAAAAAAAGATAAAATTCAAAAAATCCACCTCACGAAGCAGCTTGGAAGTTTCGTCAAAAGTTGTTCTTATTCTTAACGTGGGATGTTATCCTTTATCTGTCCTTTTGCCGTGTTGCTTGTCTTCTTTTTGTTAATTAGTCTAACAGAAAGTGATTCTTTGATCATTTATTTTGACTATGTATAAATGTGGTTCGGTTAACATTCATTTAGTGTGACAAACAAATGAATTTAACACCCAAAAATAAGAGTTGATTAAACCCTAGTGTCTATATCGTAATTCTCAAATTATCTAATCGATACACATTTATATGAATACGGATGTATGTGAGTGCAATCGAACGGCTCGAATCTTAATAGTGCCCACATTCATTTTTTAACCGTTGGATCGACACATATCTGTACAGATCTATGTGTGCATACGTGCAATCTGACTATTCAAAGGACAAATTCTCCACAAAGTGATTGTTATATTTTTATCTTACTCACATGTGAATGCTGACTTGTTTATATTGATTTAGTGTGACATAAACATACCAATACCCGAAAAAAACAGTATATTCACCTTAGAGATTAGAGCTCATCTCGGGTTTTAACTGTTGGATCGACGGAAATCAACGCGAATATATATGCACGTGCGATTTAACAGCTCAAATTTATTAGTGCCCTCATCGAATTTTCAATCATCGAGTGACACATACATATCTACACGAACACGATTGTGTAATTCGATGGTTCAGATCTTGACGCAGACAATCTGTCGATGTATAAACCACTATACATATAAAACCGAATTTATTTCGTTTGAAAAAAAAATTGTCACACTTTGCAAAATATGTACTCTTTTTTCCCTCAAAAAGATAATTAAATTATTAACTAAAAGACTAAAAATGAGTACTCAATATATCAATCCAACGACAACAAAATATGGATACTCAACTCGAGCAAGAAAATTAAATTGAATTGCCAAACCGAAAAAATTCCGCGTGCATTTTAGCACACAAGAAAGCACCACCAAGTTCCCTTTTGCCTTTTTTCACACTTAATAGTTTTCAAATTGATTATACTTTTCCGCTTGTCTTTTCCTACACGCTACCAAATATTTTTCATTTCACACCTCCATTTTCACCTCTTCCCCTCATAAAACAACATCATCACAAATTCATCAAAACCAAACCCAGAAAAAAAAAAAAATAAAAATATGGCGAAAGATCGGAAAATCGGCGTGGCCATGGACTTCTCGAAGAGCAGCAAGGCGGCCCTACGGTGGTCCATCGACAATCTTGCCGACAAAGGCGACACATTCTACATTCTCCATATCAAATCACACTCTCCCGACGAGTCGCGCGACAAGCTCTGGTCCCAATCGGGCTCTCGTAAGCTCCGTTTATTAATCCAGACTTGATTTTCACCATACCTTTAACTGCAGAATAGTCATCAATTTTTTTAACTGTTGAATGTTGATTTGACACATACCTGTGTGTGTATGTGTGTATGCTGATCAAACGGTTGAATAAAATTTGGTGAACAATCATCAAAATTTTTCACCCTGAATGTTGATCTGACATATATTTGTGTGGGTATGTGTGTATACTGATCAACGGGTATAAAATTCGGTAAGTGTAGAGGAACAATCATCATTTTTTTTTTTTTTGGTTAAAATAGCTTTGATTCCATTCACGGAGTTTCGTGAGCCGGAGGTGATGAAGAAATATGATGTGCCGATTGATATTGATGTGCTTGATTTGCTCGATACAGCTGCTAGACAGAAGGAGGTAATTTTTTTTGGCAGTCTAAAAACTATTTTCACAAAATTACATACTTATTTTTATAAAATGTCATACTTCTGTTATGTTGTTGTGTGACCTAGGTGGACTAATAACATCCTTACCAGTTTCTTTTTTTTTTATTTTTTATTTTCTTTTTCATTGTGAAAAAAGTTGTTTTAATTGTTAATTTTGAGAAAATATTGAGAAAAATTGTGATTTGATTGATTAGATAAAAGTGGTGACAAAGTTGTACTGGGNAATACTGATTTGATTGTGTGATAAAAAAATGCAATTGATTTCATTGGATAAAAATGGTTTATAGTTGGAATATATTGTTTATGTTTGAAATTATTTTTTCCACTAATAAGTACTTTGAAAAATTGCCATTGAATTCGTTGAACTCCAACTAACACAGTAAAACTTCAAGCATCATATTTTCTTTTGCAATTTTCATTGGAACAATTTCGTTAAAATTTCTAATAAAATATATTTAGCGTTAGAATCTTTCGGTAGAATTTGATTATAATTCTGGGTCGCGGCAGATACTACAAATAGTCACCTATTAACTGCACGAATTAATATGCCCACCAGTTAGTGTGATTGAAAATGCGCATTATTTACAGAATGAATAGAGTATTTAAAGATCACAAAATCTGTATGACTGGTGCACACATTTTTGAGAATGAAATTTCAAAAGTAAACATACATATAATTAGGTCATTTGTAAATTTAATGGAGGATGTTTAGAGCTAAGACTACAGGTCAGTCAAAAAAAGACAATAATTAGTGCAGAAATTACAGATCCTTTATCTTTATATTTAACAAATTTCCCCTTAAATGGTGCTTAATTAATATTCAATTAATAAAAAATTGCAGGATAATTTTGGGAAGCGTGAGCAACCACGTGGTGGCGACTGCAACCTGCCCAGTGACCATAGTCAAGGACCCTGACTTTCACAAGAACTGATTCCTTCGATAAATTAATGTTATTCTCCTGTCAACTTATTAAGTATCTCACTAATTATCTTTCAATAAATTGCAATATTTTGCAATATAGTTTGCTCTTAATAATTTGTTTCATGTTGATGAATGATGAGAGAATGGTGGTTATTTGTCGGATCGGGTCGTGCTATGCATCGCCTTTCTTTTACGAATATTCTATTGATTCGAGGTGTTAAAATTTTCATCAAAACGTTTGTTTTTACAAGGAGTGATACATGATTTGAGTAGTTTATATTTAAACTCTTATTCGTCTAGTAAATAAGTATGTTTGACTCGACTTGTTTAATAATGAATAAAAGACTTGACTCGAGTCCTCCAACTTGTTTAAATTAGACTCGATTTGTCTAACAAATTTAAAACTCTAACTGAGTCATGCACAAACATATTCGATCCAACTATTTCATTTCAAATTGTTTGCGATCAAGTTCGAATTGGCCCAGTTGTAAAGTGGCTTTTCTGGTTAGATTCATTTATATAAGCAAACAAATAAAGTTAGGCGAAATTTGGTCTCCACCACAAGAATTTTAAATAATTGCGACTTTACGAAGTGAGTAATTATATTTGTAAGCATGTCTTTTCAATTGCATTTATTTGACCTCAAGTAAAAATCCGTTACCATATTAAGTGAGATACTATCTTCCTACAATCACGTTATACATAAACAGAAAAGGTTACTATATTAAGTGAGATACTATCTTCCTACAATCACGTTAAACATAAACAGAAAAGGTAATATATATATTAAGTGAGATACTATCTTCCTACAATCACATTAAACATAAACAGAAAAGGTAATATATATTAAGTGAGATAATATCTTCCTACTATTTTCCTACAATCACGTTACCATATAGAATATATTTGACCACCTGAAATTCAAACGTCCTATTTATTTTTTCAGTATATATTGCGTTTGTAAATAATATATACAGAAGATATATAAGTTCGGAAAATATATTGCGTTATACATAATATATACATAAACTGTATATGTTTAGTTTATATAAGATATATATTATTATCCACAATGTTTACACATAAGAAACTGTATATGTTTACTTTATCCAACGTATATATTATTATCTATAATGTTTATACATACGAAACTGTATTTAGTTTATACAAACGTATATATTACTATTGACGTCAGGCATTTTTGTTGTGATTTTTTTAGATCCAAACAATGAAGGAGAAAAAAAAATGACTGAGGAAGATGGAGTGAAAAGTAAAGTAAATAATGGAGGTGGTTGTGATGGATGATTCCTGACAGAAAAAAGCGTTAGATGGTTATGGGGGTTACATTTAGAATCCCAATAAATTAGAAAGTTACCATTCAAAAATCACCTTCTTAATAATTATCTATAGAAAATGGTTGTAAGTGTATCTTGTATTTGTGCTATTATTTTGGACAGATTTGTTATGTTTACAAATAAATAACTTTATTGGTATAGATGCAATATTCTTTGTTCCGTTTGTATACAGGGTAATTTTCTCATAAAGTTAAAGTTACCACACAAGTCAAATTGAACCATGTTGCATTTTTTATTTTATTTTTTTTAACAAACGAACAGATTAGATTAATACTCAAAAAGGTTTACATGGTAACCAAATGGTTAAACAAACCACAACCTAAACAACGAGAATCAAAGCAACCCACACACACAGGAGATGCATCTCTCTAAAGCCATCAAGGCTAACGAGAACTAGGAAAGCTAGAACAAGAAGAAACAAGAAAAGAACAAACATCAAAGCTAGACACAAGCTGAAAAACTTCCTCGAACATTGCTGATAAGAAAGGCCTCACAGACAAGGCTTCTGTGAGTTCAACCACCAACAACTGTGAGTCCAGAAAGCACACCTCTTTTTCCCATCCTTTCTTGACTGCTAGGTCCATAATCCCACTCACTGCTAGCATAGAAGCTGTATTTCCAAAACTCAGGCTGTTCCATGACTTGTGTCACATGTGCAGAATTCCTTCTCTGTTTGAAGCACTCCTCCGGCTCCTACTTTACCCCAATCAGAGATTAAATCATGTTGCAGTTAGAAAAGTGGGTTTTGTGGGGATAAAGCCACTGAAAAGCATGTGCAAGCGTGAATCTAAAAAGAGGAAACCAAATAAATACTATGTTTGACATTATCATTAACGTTGTACCAATTGTAAGAATTGTCATAACCATCTTGTTACATGTAGGAGTGAGGGAAATTGAGAAATCTTTAAAATTGTACTGAGATTCGAAAATCACTAAAATTCAATTTCTAGAACCGTACAAAAAATTCGAGATGGTTTGATTCAAGAATTTTTATATTTCGATTCGGTTGGGTATTTGGAACTGGCAGTTTAGTTCGGCTCAAGCTCCCGAGATTTTTAATTATTATTATTATTTTTTTGAACAACTATCTAGTTATGTTTATATGTTTTACAAAAAAAATTAACATTCAACAATACTGCATCATATTAAAGATCTTATCTTAAAGTCAACTTTATAAGTAACTCAAAATTTTAGTAAAGTCTAAATTTGGGTAAATACCAATAAAAAATTAAAATTCAAACAAAATATAATATAATTTTTTTCTTAAAACAAAAATCTTTCACCTTTCAAACCATTTTAATATAAGATAGTATAAGACTAAGGAAAGTATCAACATATTTAAGTAAAGTTTAAATGATTTTTTAAGTAATCTTTTTTTAATATTTAGCGGTAGTCGGGCCAGTTGCCGGCGGGCGACTACTTGCCACACAGCCTCGGTCTCGATGCGCGCACCTCCGAGTCTAACCAGCGCCACTGATCGTGGGCAGACATTCGCGGCAGGTTTTTTCCATTTCTGGTGCCTGTCCGTGGCTTCTGGACGTTCGCCTCTCTGGTGCTGCGGTGGTGCTTGGTGGAGTGTGGCATCGGAGGGTTGGCGTGGCTCGGGTGGCTTGTTTCGTTCGTGACGAGGATGTCGAGGCGAAGGAGCCTCATCCGATCCCCTTTCCCCTTGGATTCTGGTGTGGGGTCCATTCGGGGGCAGTACTGCGGCCTCGGCTAGTGGTGTTAGTGTTGGGTTCGCTAGTACCGTACGGGCTTTAAGCAGCGAAATTTAAAATTTTTCAAAATAAGTATTTATTGTATAAATACAACACCCGTACATACTAATTGCGAATTAACTGATCGTCATCTTTAAAACATGCATCATATACAAATTTTGATTTGTTATATAAAATAAATACAAATACAAAGTATTTACCGAATGTCTTGAACTCCTTCAACGACGATGTGGATTGTGGGAATCGGTTCCCGGTTTGATAACTTCAACGGATTGATGTTACTCACTTTAGGAATCCAAGTGTCTTCCCTCTAAACGTATCCACCCTATGAAGCCCGGTTCCGACGACCTTCCTTCGCTAGTAGGAATGTCTCGGTTTTCTTGTATAGGAATATGTATGAATTTTATTTTGGGAATTTTCAAGAACTCTTTCTTGATGTTTATGAAGAACTATTCTTCTTTCTAACACTTATAAATTTTAGGAATGAATTCACCTTAAATGCAAAACCATTTTGCATCTATTTATACTAAACATTTTAGTATAAAATAATCAACATTTAGTAATATTTAAATAAAATCAGATTTTATTTAAATAATATTTACTAACTATTGACTTTGAATTTACTAACTATTGACTTTGAAAATAATAAATAATGTTAAGTGGTTCAAACCACCTTTAACCACCATTTTATTATAATCATATTTATTATTTTAATCCTTAAATCATATTTAAAGATAAAAATAATAATAGAATAATAAATCTTGAGAATCTTTTCAAGACTTTATTATTATATTCATTTTCCCAATTTACATCCATATTATAATAATCATATTATTATTATTTTGGTTTGGAAATTTAAAATCCAATTTTAAATTCCAACATATTAATTTAGTAATTACCTTAATTACTAAAGTAATATCCAAAATGTAATTAATCAATCTTATTGATTAATATATTCCTTTTAATTGATATCTAATCAAATTAGATTATGTCAATTAATTCTAACCCTTTAGAAATACAATTTTTCACCTTTGTTCATAATAGGTGTGACCTTTTAGGTTCACCTTAATACTAGTAGTGGGTTTACAACTCTTTGTAATTTGAGTTAATCACATTAACTCTTATTCATGAATTAACCCTTTAATTCAAGAACCCACATATCATGGGAACATCTAGCAAGTAACATGAATCTAGTATTAAGTGAATAGCGAGTAAACCTATTCCGATTACAACTCCATACATGTAAAATCCTTTCGACATCTAATTTCCCGATTAAGTCTTGGGTATGATTTTGTCGAAACCCAAATTGACTTAATAACTATGATTCTATTTCAAGTTTATTAACCCTGTTATGAATCACTATTCATCTCTGCCTTGGCCAAGGACTTTGGATTAATAACTATGAAACACATAGGAAATTCACTTATCTTCATAAGTGTCGAATCCTTTATTGGCCACTAACAAACTTCCATACATATTAACATAATACCCAACTTATCCCTTTAAACGATAGTGCTAGCTACCAAAAAGATAAATCAAAGTAAAATGTAATATGCACAAAGTTACCATTGTCCCTCAAGTCTTAGGATTAGTCATGTACTATTGTAACATGAAAATTCTTATTCGACTGAATAAATTCTTCATTAAGAATTTTCATACGGTCATGTTCAGTGAACTTGTTCTCTAACAAGCACCCACATATATGTACTTGCGTCCCACGCTAATGTTGATGGAATGCAACATTCTTGTCAAACAAGCATACATACTATGTACAAGTCTTTTATGGATTATTCGATATCCCTTTTCGAAACATCCATCGACTTGGAACTTTATTTAAGACCACAGCTTTCAAGGTATGTTCCATGATCACCATCTCTATGCGCAACCATACCTTATAACTATATGTGATCTAGGGATTTTATCTTAAGTGCAAATAT